ATTTCGCAATACTTATAGGTAATAAAAATAATATCACATATATTTCAATCTAAAAGTATCATATAAATTTTAATCTAAAAGTTGTATCACAAATTGCAGTCTTACTTTTTACTTTTTACAACAGATAAGTAAAAAAAATAAAATAATAATTTGAACTGTTGTAAAAAAACTTAAAGTATTTCATTTCTTTGGTATAACAATCTCTATTACGATATCTTAATGCTCTAACTTGCAATACAAAATGTCATGAATTTATGATTCATACGAAATAATAGAACTACAAACTGATTATAAATCTCATATTAAAAACAAAAGATACTTTATAAGTTCGATTATCCGTAAGCGCTTAAAACAATGTTATTAGTAATCTTCAAAAATAAGGAAACAAAATGAAATATAATATTAACCTTATCGGATTGATTATTTTTTAATATTTGGTAAGTTTGCAAATGAATTTGCAATATTTTCTAAAATTTTTAGAGCTGCATCTTGTCGAGCCATTAACTCATTATGACGTTTTTCTTTCTTAGCCTCTCTTTGTATAAAATTTTGTTTGTACATACTTAATTGTTTTGCTAATTTACTTTTTTCTTATCTTCAACTTTTTATTTTTCTTTTTCGGAATCTCCTCATCGTTACTGAATGAATTTTCTTCAATTTCAATCGATGACTTGGAAGCACGTTGAATCCCTCGTGAAGAAGATGCAGTTGACACTGGCTGCACGTCAGGATCTTGACTAAATATTTCGTCCATTTCAAAGAAGTAATCGAATTTAATCGTACCTGTTTCACTGCTCTTTGGACCCATATTGTCTTTCTTTCCCATATACTTCTGTTTTAAATATTTAAATTTGTTTTTTATTTGCTCAGTTGTATGCATTGGTAACTTTTTAGCTATCATGTGCCATACTTTATCGTTTCTCATTGTCGTACTTTTAAATAAATGTTTATGGGACTTGTATAAGTCTATTAGCTGTAAAATCTCATTTTGATTCCAAGAAGTTCTGCTTGTAGTGTTGTTCTTTTCTTGTTCACTATCCGTAGTAGAGTTAGACTTCGAGACTTCAATTTGAGTTTGAATTCCAGCGTTTGGAAATAATATAGCAGCTTGGGAAGGTTAATAAACATTAATGTATTCCCTGTAACAATAAAACAATATTGAAATTTGAAATATTTATAGCTATCCTCAAAATTTGTGTATAAATAATGTACAAAAACATTTTTACATAACCTATAATTTACCACAAAAACCACTACGAAAGTATATGTTTGCATAACATACAAGCAAAGCACTTACCGGATTTTTGTTGAACCAGGATATTTCCTGATGGATCCGTGACATTTCCATTCGGCTTAGTTACAAGCATGTAATCCATGTTTGTAGTACATAATCTTGCATTATAAAAATATAATCGCAAAACATAAAGGAATATGTGTGAATGTCATGCGCAAACGCAAAAACGTCCAAGAATCGTTCCGTTTCCCGAGACAACTTCGGTATGTGACGTCACACTTCGTCCGGACAAACACTCGGCATACGGAACGCACCCCAGTATTTGCAGGTCACGTCTTTGAGTGGTAACGTAGCCAAAATCATCGAATCAGTTGAACTAGCAGAGGTAAACTACACAATAGCATGAGAGTTGCTAAAGAAGAGGTTCGACGATTCAAGAGTAATGAAGAAGAAATATATAAAATGCTTATAGTCACAATGTCCAAGGTGGAGAAAGAGTCAGCTGGAGCAATTCGAGGCTTAGTGGATTACACACTGAAACATTTGCGAGTACTGAAATCGTTAAATTTGCCAACGAACTCTTAGAGCAAATTGATAAAACTTTTTAATTTTACTATTTTTGTTAACTGTTATTATACGATTTAACTCTTTAATGTTAATTGTATTAATATTGATACAGTTAGAACATGTTATGTTAGCAAATCTTTTGTCAAAGTTCTCGAAAAAACATGTGAAATTTCTGGATCTGTACCTTGGATTTGACTACCATCTACGCTATACAACTACATGATTAATGCATTTTTATTATTGGACGAATTCTATGTATAAACGTAATGCATGAACTTTTATTGATCTACGATTTAATAAGGCTATTCAAAATAATTTATATGACATGTAACGATTTTCTTGAAACATTTTTATTAACATTGAGAATAATCCAATAGGGGTCGAAAAGTTTGTTTTTATCTTTCGTTTTTAA